TATCGATACTGCCATGAAGCTTCACAGCCTAAAGAGAGGGGTGATGTCTGGACCAGGGCCTCAGTAAGTCAGGGAGGTGCATTTGTCCATGTTGATAAAAACTTCCTTTTGAGCCAGGCCCTGTGGCTCACACCGGGAATCATGGCACTTTGGGGGCCATGGTGGGAGGATCACTTGAGCTGAGGAGTTTGAGAGAAGCCTGGGCCACACAGTGAGACTTTTTCTTTATATTAAAAATGACAACAAAAACAATGATGACAAAACCTTCCTTCTTAGGAACTATCATCAAAATAACTTCTCTTTTTTAAAATATCTTTTCTTCAAAACTGCCCTAAGATCTGCTGCTAAGCATTTAAGGTTGGCTTCTTTCTTTTCTTAGACAGATTCTTGCTCTGTCTCCTAGGCTGGAGTACAGTGGCATGATCTCAGCTCACTGCAGCCTTGACCTACTAGGTTCAAGCCATCCTCCTGCCTTAGCTACCCAAGAAGCTGAGAATGCAGGTGCGTGCCACCACACCTGGCCAATTTTTTTTTTTTTTTTTTTTGAGACGGAGTCTCGCTCTGTCGCCAAGGCTGGAGTACAGTGGCCGGATCTCAGCTCACTGCAAGCTCCGCCTCCCGGGTTCCCGCCATTCTCCTGCCTCAGCCTCCCGGGTAGCTGGGACTACAGGCGGCCGCCACCTCGCCCGGCTAGTTTTTTGTCTTTTTTGGTAGAGACGGGGTTTCACCGTGTCAGCCAGGATGGTCTTGATCTCCTGACCTCGTGATCCGCCCGTCTCGGCCTCCCAAAGTGCTGGGATTACAGGCTTGAGCCACCGCGCCCGGCCCCAATTTTTGTATTTTTTGTAGAGACAGGGTCTTGCCATGTTGCTCAGGTTGGTCTCGAACTCTGAGCTCAAGCCAGTCGCCTGCCTCAGCCTCCCAAAGTGTTATAGGCACGAGCCACCAGGAAGTTGGCCTTTTTTCTTTTGCAGTGTTTTCTTCCCACCTCCTATTCTTCTAAGGCTGTCTCTGACCCTTTGCTCTTTTCTTTACATTTTCCCATTCGGGAGCTTCTTCATTCTCATGATTTCAAGTCTCACCTCCAAATCTATTTCCAGTCCCCTCCTCTTCCTTTCACACTGAGTTCCACCCCCATTTCTCCAAGTGCTTACTGTCCAGTTCTCCTTGAATAAGTTACCCTTATCTCAAAGTCAATCTGTCCACACTTACTTGAATGGAAAAACGGGCTTAAATAGAGCTGAAGAAAGTTACCCTGGAGGGGCCTTTGAGATCATCTATTCCAATGTCCTTAAGGTGGAGATGATGAAACAGGTTCTGGGAATTTTCTCAAGATCATATAGTTCAGTAGTGACACACTGAGGGTAGCTAAGAACAGGAAGCCTGCTTATTCTATGTTTGGGAAAGTGATTTGCTCAGGGCACAAAGCTAGTTAGTAGTGGAAGAACTGAGGTCAGTCTCCCATTCTGTAGCACACTGCTAATTCATAAGAGCCCTCTGAAAGTGAGTTGGGGTCATTAGGAAACTGACTGCCCAGGAGAGCCATGATGGGAGAAGATACCAGCCTGAATTTAAAGCAATTCCATATTTGGTTATAATGTCATTTTCTCTGTCTCTCTCTCTCTCTTTTGACCTGGAGGCATGAAAGATTTAAGGCAGAAACTGACATTTAAACTGAGAAAGCCAAGAAAGGCAACATCTCACCTCCTTAATCAGTTATAAGTAGGTAGTGAGGCGTGTGCTAGAGTAATGAATGGCCAAGCAGAATCTGCCAACAAGAGTTTTCAGTACAAAGCGACCCTGAAACCAGACTTTGCATTTGCCCAGAACTGGCAATTTTGATGCCTTGGGCAAGTAGCAGTACATGGGCCCTTGGTCAACTTTGTGCTTCAGATTTGGCACACAGAGGGGTGTTACTAACAATGTACACCATCTGCTAGCTTCCCGTTTTAACTAATTATTCTTGTTAACTAGGTGCTAACCTTCTACATGGTTGAAGGAATGCCTGGGCTGTCAACAAAATTAAATCTAAGAAAATTTAAAGTCATATACTCTTTTGAAACCAGTATTAATACTTTCTTGCACCCTTTAAATTTTGGTATCCTGGCATAAAGCCCAGTCACCTGCCTTGGCTCTGTATAAGTCTCACCAATGGACTTGTTACTAGGGAGGTGCAGAATAAGTTAATAAGTGACGTGTGCTGTGCTCAGTGCACGTGTGTTTGGGCTGGGAGAAGACAGTGGATTGCTCTAGAATCACCTGGAGACATTTTCTACTCCGCTGTATACCCCATGCCCCTCTCCTTCTAGGTCTGTCAGCACAGAGACGGGAGGAGGCTGGGTTTTGATTGAACAGAGATAGGAAACCATAAAAGAAGAATGAGGCTGGGTGTGGTGGCTCACACCTATAATCCTAGCAGTTTGGTAGGCCCAGTGGGGTGGATTGCTAGAGGCCAGGAGTTCAAAACCAGCCTGGGCAATAAAGCCCTAACTCTACAAAAAAATTAAAAAATGAACTGGTGTGGTGGTGCATGCCTATAGTCTTAGCCACTTGGGAGGCTGAGGTGGGAGGACTACTTGAGTTCAAGAGTTGGAGGTTATAGTGAGCTATGATCCTGCCACTGCACTCCAGCCTGGGCAATACAGTGAGGCCCTGTCTCTGGGGGAAAAAAAAAAAAAAGATGTCTTCTTAGTCTTGTTCTAAATTGTGTGATCACTACACTAAAACGGTTAGGAGGTGTTTGCTCTGTGTTCTGATAGTTATACATTTTTAAGAAAAAATATAATCAAGCAGATAGGCAGCTAATCTGGTTTCCGCTTACCACACACTTAGAAGCTTTGTGGTGCAGATGAGGAGGCCACTGGGTAGTGACCATTCTCAGGGCAGTGGCTTTTCTCATTGCAGGGTAACATGTGGCAATTGGCAGAAGACATTTCAAATAGCTGACAAGTATTCTATCATTCTCCTCTCTGACAATGGTCACACTACCTGAGAGTCATTTTTGACTTCGCTCATGTTTCCCACTTTTTGACATGGGGTTGGAAAATCTTGGTTCGTTCCCACTAAATGTCTCCTGGGCACATTTGTTCCAGTCCCACCACCACTGCTCTAAACCTGGATGACAGCAACAGCTTCCTCACTGATGCCCTGGATTCAGTGTTTTCTCTGTATATCCTTCCTACCAGAGCCATATTATCTTTCTTAATAACCATCTTTCTCTTCCTCAAAACCTCACATGGCTTCTTATTTGCTACAAGAATGTCTAAACATATCCTTTTAAGAGGCCATATCCTTTTAACATCCTTAACATATCCTTTTAAGAAGCTATGGCTGGGCATGGTGGCTCTCGCCCTTAATCCCAGCACTCTGGTAGGCCCAGGGGCTGGATCACCTGAGGTCAGGAGTTCAAGACCAGCCTGGCCAACATGGTGAAACCCCGTCTTTACTAAAAATACAAAAATTAGCTGGGCATGGTGGCGGGCACCTGTAATCCCAGCTACTCAGGAGGCTGAGGCAGGAGAATTGCTTGAACTTGGGAGGTGGAGGTTGCAGTGAGCCGAGATGGTGCCACTGCACTCCAGCCTAGGCAACAAGAGTGAAACTCCATCTTGGAAACAAACAAACAAACAGGATATAGAGGCCCGTGGCCTCTATCTTTCTAATGCAGCCCCTTTCCCAGCAGTACTCCTAAGCCTGTGCTCTCCACTGTGGACTGCCAGTGCTCCTCTCTTTCCTTCAGTTCCTCCTTGGCTGTCTGCTCATTTTGCAGAGTTATCTGGAACCTCATCTCTATTCCATCTGAACATTCCCATCCATTCCTAAAGGTTTAGCTCCAGTACCGCTTCTGGGCCAGGCCTGTAGCCCTGTTAAGTGAACCTGGTGGGGGCCACAGGATGTATTTCCACCAGGATTTTCACATTACATTGCTACTTACATGTGATATGGTTAGTCACTGATTGACCCAGACTCCCAAATGGCTCCTTCCACCATCAGGATCAAGTCCCCAATCTTGGGCTCTGTCCACCAGCCTAGGCCAGGCAAGGTGACTTTCTAGGACTCACATTTGGCTCTTTCCGATGCATATTTGAGCATTTGCCAGAGAGTTCCTTAAAAATGAAATTACCCTATACAGTCTACCATACTATTGTCTACTATTGCTTAAGATCCCCCTCTTCTAAGATTATGCAAATTATTTCTGCCAACCTTCCAATCTGTTAGCACAATCCCGTACTCTCCATTTTTGGGTAGATTCTCCCTTCCACTCTGGGGAATAAAGTGTGTCCTGAGCCTCAAGGGAAGAGGAGCTTCCTTTGCTGGATGGTTCATATTTCCTTCTGCAGCTGGAAGGCTGGTGTCCACTACTAACTGTGACATTGACTTATATACTTTCTTTGAGACTAAAGTCCAGTACCTGGTAGTCTGTAGGCAGCCAATAAAGGAAGGGAGCTTGGGAGGTCTGGGTCGAATCACAGCTCTTTCCTTACTGGCTGTGGGACCTTAGGAAGTAGCTCCAGCTATCTGAGCCAGTCTCTGCAGACTGAGAGAATAGTCCTTGCCTTGCCTGGGTTGTTGTCAGGTCTAGAGATAACCTTTGTAAGGCTTTGAACACAGGTAATGGCACATAGTAGGTGGTTGAAACATGGTGGGCTGCTTCCCGAGGTTCCCAGGGACTTGACTCTATAAGCTGAAGAACAGGGGATTGTTTATTAGCTCATGGGTGGGAACATCTATTTTATGATTGTATTTACCCTTGTCATCTGTCCAGTTAGATTGAAAATTACTAGAGAACCAAAACCAGTTGTTTCTTTGGGGTATTCAAGGGATGATGCAGGATTGAAGCACTAGAATGTTTTAACATTCTCTGATTGGGATGGGATGATTCTCCAACGTTAGTATATGAACATAATAGAAAGGCATACAATAAAAATGTACCGGTGGGCTGGTGTGGGTATGCAGAACGCACTGTTATGTTTTAGTTAACAGCAGTGCATTGGATTCACCAAGGCTGTCGAGGAAAGCAGGGAAGGCGGCTCAGGCTGGCTCCTTTTTCTACCTCCTGGCTCTTTGCCCATTTCCCTGCAGTTCACCGTGTCCACCAGCCGCTCCCAGTCCTCTGCCTTCCCCACATGGCACATAGTGCCCGTCACGCTGAGCCCCTCCCCCTGCAGGGTGGCTGCCGAGTTCTGCTGCTTCTGACTGCTGACAACTACGTGGAGCCCATCTTGGGCCAGATGCCCGCGATGGCAAAGCGGATCCTGTGAGCAGAAAGACACAAAGACTGCCAAAGCCTGTGCAGGGGAAGAGGTCGAAGCATGGGCTGTGAAGTTAGACTGCCCGGGTTTGAATTCAGGCTCTTTCCCTATCTGACCTCCAGGTGTCTCTACTCTGTGTAAAACAGGCTTGATGGCACGGCCTTTTGGCGCTCATTTACTTATTTTTATTATGATCTGGAACCGCAGCCTCCGTTCCCAAGAACTTACATCACTTTCTACAGTTCCCACCACGGGTGACAGGCTTCATCCCCTGTTGGGACTGAGAGGTGAGAAATGAGCTGGGTGTGCAGCAGCCACTTCCGTGATTTGAAGGTCTCACTCAGAACAGCCTTGCCCCCAAGTTTCTTTCTTACTAGTCTACCACATTCTCAAAATTCTATCCTTAGTTATTTTTTTGGGGTGCATGTGAGAAGATGGTCTCCTGTCAAAAATGTAAACATTGCCTTGGGAGGAAGAGTTACACATTCTGCACTTGTCAGTCATTAGCATTTTACCTGCATTTGTATTTTAGTTTTGCGGAGAGCTGGCATCTAGCAAAGTCCCGTAGAAATGAGAACCAGGATAGACAAGAGTGGTGGGTGAGAAACAGGCTGGACAAGATAGGCCCAGATGTACTGAGCTAAACAAAAATCTTGACACAAAGCTCTTGTGTCCCATCTAGGTAAGGGGGCGGGGTTCCTGGAGACTTTCCGGTGCCCAAATAGAGTGTCTGGTACATTTTCAAAGTGCTGGAGACCCTGGGATAGGATATTGAAATCCAGGTTCCCTCACATTTCTAGTTTCTGGTCTTCCCGGACGCTAGGTGGAGCCGGTTGACTGGGCCAGGCCAGAAGCCCGGCGGGGACTGATCGATGGGGCTGCACAGAGGTGGCACGGTTGTGCCAGAGGCTGCAGGGACACGAGGGCTGGCAAGGTAGGGCCCAGGGCCAGGAGATTCGGAGGGGGTTCAGGCAGACCACGTGGCTACTTTTTTCCAGGGCCAGACTTTGGCCGCATGTGAGGTCTGAGGACAGGGGCACTGGAGGCAAAGGATGAAAGACCAGTGCCTGTTTGCAGGCAGCCAGGGCCTCAGAAACTCCAGCACTAGCACTCACCCGTCAGTGGAGGCCGTTACCAGGGCCACCTTATTAGCGAGCAGGTTCCGGGGGGTCATCCTGGAGCTGGCCATCGGCACCGACTTCCATGCCCGGGCACAGTGGCCTAGCAGCCCCGCCTTGTGCATGGCTCAGACCAGCAAGTCTGGGTTCCACTCCTTCGAGGGGAGGTGACAGATAGTAGGGCAAGGGAGCAGGACGAAGGGCGGGCCGCTTTCCCTGCCACCCCCTCCCTGCCCTCGGCCCGCTGAGAGTTGTCTGTGACCCTGGGCGCCTCCCTCCGCCGCTGCTCCCCGCAGCCAGCTACCTTCCGCCTGACTGGGGCTTGCCTTCCGGGCTGGCAGGCTGGCGGGTGATCAAAGCGCTCTCTGTTCAAGTTTTCTGTAGGGCTCGCCCCTCCCCTGGACCCCGCAGGAACCCGCAGACTTTGGCCACTGCCCTTCTGCATCTGCTTGCCCACGTTTTTCTTCTGGGGGAAGTGGGGGTTTTGAGTTGCTTTTGCTTCTTCAGAATTTCTTCTCCAAGAAAGTCTAGGTCAATGTATGTGACAGCCCACAGGAGGACAAATGTTTTGAGACTGCCCATGGAGGTGAGTCCTGTGGTCCCCGTGGAGTCCACCAGGTGAGGCTGGAGGAGCCTGGGAGAGATGTGATACGGAGTAGCTGCACCAGGCCTGGCACTGCCCTTCACTCTGCCCAAGGTCTCCTCCATCTTCATGGGCCCTGGAGGGCAGACTATGGTCATTGACCAAACAGTATCTCACATCCCTCTCCAAAGGGACTTCCTCCTTTACAGGGGCTAAGTGCTAGAGAGGAGGCTGCAGAGTCCCTGGAGCAGTGGTGGAAATGCTGAGAACTGGGGGCACTCAAGTTCTCCCTAACCACTATGTCCCCAGGTCTTAGCCTCCATCCTAGTTCAATAAATATTTGTTGAATGCAAAATCTCTTTATGAACTGTAAGCTATAAGCACATAGTAGTTACTGCCACCATGTAGTGATTATTATTGGTGCCCTGGGCCAGACTCTTCATCTGTAAATTACTGAGGGTATGGAGTAGATGATGAATAAAGTCCTTACTAGCTATAAATTCTGTGTCCAAGACTTCAGCCTCCACTTCTGCTATGTGGGCTGAAGTGATCTCCCTCCTGGGTTTCTGGGAGAATCAATAAATGTGGATGGCTTATGGTGCACTGTAGAAAGGCCCCAACAGACGCAAATGTAAGCATCAGAATTGGTTTAACCCACTGGCCTCCAAAGGCCAGACTGAGAAGCAGTGCTGGTCCATGACAACGTTTTCACTAGTGTAAGGCAAAATGAGAAAAGGAAACACATTACAGTGTGTTTCATGAAGCTAAGTTTATTTAACAGTCCTTTATTGTGGAGCATACGTTTGCTCCTTTTTTTGTGTGTGTGTTAGTGTTTTCTTTCAGAAAAGATGATGAAAGCAGATGGGTAGGTTTAGAGATGTGTTGTTGGTGAAATCACCAGTTTTGCAGCCTTATTTCCCTATAATTAGCAGGGAAAAGTCCTGATTTGTGAAATCCAGTTCTAGGGATGACTTTTTAATAGAATTCATGTTTGCTCAAGATTCATTTAGTATACGTGCAGGTCAACTGAGCAGCTGAAAAAGGATTTCAGCATTCAAAAGGGGTGTATGGCAAGCAAGTACTAGAACAGGCCTGCACTGGATTTATAGTATTTTCCTCAGCCAAGAAGTTACAGCTGCAGTACTCTGCTTTGGTACTGAGCACATCCCCATGAGATAAGAGAGCTTAAGTATAATTTTCCCCATGTCCAGGGAAAAACGACTCTGACTGGTGCTCCTCAGTCTGAGCCTCATGAATTATTGACAGAGGCTGGAAGGGCCACGCTCCTTGTCCTCTTGCACTATTTGGAGCTAATGCACTGTGGAAACCCTTCCCAGGGCTCTCCATCTGTGTGTGGGGCTGTGAGGAGGGTACACAGGAGGACTGCTGCAAGGGTTCTCAGGGCTTGGTTCAAAGGGACAGGCCTGCAAGGGGCATTTAATCTCTCTTCCCCTTCTCTTGAGAGGTAGACAGGCGGACTCAGGGTCTGAGGTTGGCAGGAAGGTGAGGAAGACTACACTTCAAAGAGCAAAGTATTCTGGGAAAAGAGAATTGTGGCTTGGGAGCTTGGTGAACATCACATGGCCCTTCCTTGTGTGGGCAGGGTTGCTATTTGGCCTCCAGCACTATTTCTTTTTCTTTCTTTTTTTTTTTTTTAAATTATACTTTAAGTTCTAGGGTACTGTGTACAACGTGCAGGTTTTTTACATATGTATACATGTGCCATGTTGGTGTGCACCCGTTAACTTGTCATCTACATTAGGTATATCTCCTAATGCTATCCCTTCCCCCTCCTCCCACCGCACAACAGCCCCCAGTGTGTGATGTTCCCCCCCATTTGTCCAACTGTTCTCATTGTTCAGTTCCCACCTATGAGTGAGAACATGCAGTGTTTGGTTTTCTGTACTTGACATAGTTTGCTCAGAATGATGGTTTCCAGCTTCATCCATGTCCCTACAAAGGACATGAACTCATCCTTTTTTATGGCTGTATAGTATTCCGTGGCATATATGTGCCACATTTTCTTAATCCAGTCTGTCATTGATGGACATTTGGGTTGGTTCCAAGTCTTTGCTATTGTGAATAGCGCCGCAATAAACATACGTGTGCATGTGTCTTTATAGCAGCATGATTTATAATCCTTTGGGTATATACCCTGTAACGGGATGGCTGGGTCAAATGGTATTTCTAGTTCTAGATCCTTGAGGAATTGCCACACTGTCTTCCACAATGGTTGAACTAGTTTACATTCCCACCAACAGCGTAAAAGTGTTCCTATTTCTCCACATCCTCTCCAGCACCTGTTGTTTCCTGACTTTTTAATGATCGCCATACCAGCTCCTCTTTGTACATCTGGTAGAATTCAGCTTGATCTGTCTGGTCCTGAGCTTTTCTTTGTTTGGTAGGCTATGAATTACTGCTTCAATTTCAGAACTTGTTATTGGTCTATTCAGGGATTTGTCTTCTTCCTGATTTAGTCTTGGGAGGGTGTATTCGTCCAGGAATTTATCCATTTCTTCCAGATTTTCTAGTTTATTTGCATAGAGTTGTTTATAGTATTCTCTGGTGGTAGCTTGTATTTCTGCGGGATCGGAGGTGATATCCCCTCCATCATTTTTTAAATTGTATCTATTTGATTCTTCTCCCTTTTCTTTTTAATAGTCTTGCTAGTGGTCTATCTATTTTGTTGATCTTATCAAAAAACCAGCTCCTGGATTCACTGATTTTTTTGAAGGGCCTTTCATGTCTCTATCTCCTTCAGTTCTTCTCTGATCTTAGTTATTTCTTGTCTTCTGCTCGTTTTTGAATTTTTTTGCTCTTGCTTCTCTAGTTCTTTTAATTGTGATGTTAGGGTGGCGATTTTAGATCTTTCCTGCTTTCTCCTGTGGGCGTTTAGTTCTATAAATTTCACTCTAAACACTGCTTTGACTGTGTCCCAGGGGATTCTGGTATGTTGTGTCTTTGTTCTCACTGGTTTCAAAGAAGTTATTTATTTCTGCTTTAATTTCATTTTGTACCCAATAGTCATTCAGGAGCAGGTTGTTCAGTTTCCAGGTAGTTGTGAGATTTTGAGTGAGTTTCTTAATTCTGATTTCTAGTCTGATTGCACTGCAGCCTGAGAGACTGTTTGCTATGATTTCCATTCTTTTGCATTTGCTGAGGAGGGTTTCACTTCCAATTATGTGATCAATTTTAGAATAAGTGCGATGTGGTGCTGAGAAGAATGTATATTCTGTTGACTTGGGGTGGAGAGTTCTGTAGATGTCTATTAGGTCTGCTTGGTCTAGCTGAGTTCAAGTCCT